GAACTCAGGACCTTGCCCTTGTGAGGCATGAGGCAGGTGGTGGAACCATTGAGCTAACTCCCCAGCCTAATAATTCAACCTTTTGATTAACTGTTAATCCCTTCACACTTAATACCATTATTGGTATAGTTGGATTTACAGCTCTTCTTTCACTTTTTGTTTTTATAGATTTGGTGTATTTTTTGTCCTTTTATCCCCCTTTGCTGCTTCTTCCATATGGTATGAATATTGGTGTCACCATCGATATTCTTCTTTACATCCCTGTTTTTGCTCATTTATTTCAATACCAGAAAACCAAACCGAAGAAATTAATTTTCTTCAGATTTTATATATATTACCCAAAAGTAACTGACTTCCCCTGTTCCACCATTTGCTAACATTGCTGGTCTACCAGCAAATGAATTTCCTTAATGTCTTATTTGCATAATGCTGAGACCACATAAGTCAAGAACGTATTACAGATCAGTTTTCCCAGAGGGCTTTGTAACCTTCCTTCCGTATCAGTTAACTTTTTGTTGCTTTGACCAGATGCCTGTCATAAACAGTTTAAGGAAGAAAAGGCTTATTTTGGCTCATGGTTCATAGCTTGCAGGTCATGGTTAGCTGGCTCCATTGCCCTTAGGCCTGTGGCAAGGCAGAAATGTCATGATAGAATGGCTTGGCGGGAGAAAGCTGTTCACCTCGTGGTAGCTGGGCAGCCAAGAGATGGAAGGAACTGAGAGAAAGTGGGTGGAGACCAGAGGTACCCTACAAAGGTACATCCTCAATGACGTACTTCCTCCTACCCCCAATAGCCCATTCAGGTATGAACTAATCAATGGATCAATCCATTGATGAGGTAAGCACTCCCAAATTCAACCCCTTTCTAAGAGTCTCTTAGTCCAAAGAAGATGATTATCAATATTAACTTTCATACTTCCTTCCACGCGAAATGTAATTTTTGTTCCTTAATGGCTACATTATAGGTGATTAAATAAAATTTATATTTACACATACAATTCTTTAGAGGATTTGATTATATAATAGACTTGTATAATACATCCTAGTAACAAGGACAGCTGACTCTTTGAAGCTATTCAAATAGTTATATAACCATTTGGGACTCAGTAAAAGTATTTATTCCTGGATTCTGAGGAGTCAGTGGAAACAAGACATTAAAAAAATTTCATTTTAGCTTGCATAAGCTAAGACTGCAAAATTAAGGATTATCAGATGAAGAAAACAAAAAAATGAAAGAAGGGACCTTGTCATGCTCATCAGAAAACAACATCAAAAACAATGCAACAGTATAGCTAAACAAATAAGCATTATTATAAACAAATAAGCATTATTATATTTCCCTTATTAGCTTATTAGGCTTATGTGATTTGTCCATGACTCACAGATCAGCAGTGAACTTCCGTGGTCAGTTCCTTCCGGACTAAGAAGTGTCCTAGCTCCTTTATATAACCCTGTGCTCTCGTTTATAGATGTCTGTTTGTGGTCAGGTAAGGCTGAGAAGCCTGGCTCTACAAGCAATCTTTTTGTTTTTGTTTGTTTTTGTTTTAGTACCAGGGATCGAACTTGGGACCTTGCGCTGCTTGCACTTGTGAGGCAGGAGGCAGAACAACTCACTAAATCCCTCGCCCTGGTGCAGTCTTTTCTACCAAGCTACTAGGACTGCTTCTCTCCACTGAGGAATCTAGTTTGTTCAGTACCAGACTTCATCAGGCAAGCACAGAAGAAAAGCAAAAATTACCTGTTGGTGATTTAACTGAAGGTTCTATTAGTTTATCATAGTAGTTTATGTATCAGAATAGAGTAGAATAAATTCTGTTGAATTATAGATTTTGTCAATGTCTCTTTAAGGGTTAAGAATATACTGTGAATATGGGGACAATGACAAATCTATTATATAAAGTAACAGGACAAATGTTGGTGAAGATGTGAGGAAACAGGAACCTTGATACATTATTGATGGGAATATAAATTAGTATGTCTACTATGAAAAATAATGTGGAATTTCCTTAAAAAAAACTAAATTTACAACTGCCATATGATCCAGCTATACCACTTCTGGGTATATAACCTAAGGAAATGAAGTCAGTATGCAAAAGAAACACTTACATACTATTTTTGTAGTATTATTCACAATAGCAAAATTATGGGATCAGCCTATGTGCCATCAACAGATGAATGGATAAAGAAAATGTGGTATATATACACAATGGAGTATTATTCAGCCATAAAGAAGAATGAAATAATGTCATTTGCAGGGAAATAGTTGGACATGGAGATCACTGTGTTAAGAGAGATAAGCTTGACACCGAAAGAGAAGTGTTACATACTTTTTTCCATAATTGGGCTCGAAAGTAGAAGAGAGACTGCTAGGGAAGGGAGAATGAGAGGGACCAGAAGGAGAGGAAGTCATTAGACAGGGCAGACACGATCAAAGGACACAATGTATGCATGAATGGAAATGTCACAGTCAGACCCATTAATTTGCACAATTAATATGTATTTATATTTGTAATAAAAGTAACATAGGGAAGATAACCTTTACTTTCTTGTACAGCCTGTCATATTTTGTAGGCTAAGTATATATTGCAATTCTCATATTATTATTCCAATTAAGAAATATGGAGCACATCAAAATACTTAATTGATAGTAGAATCCCTCTTGCTTTTGAATAATACATTATGTATTATGTGTTATAAAGTACAGACTAAAATACTAAGATTTTAGCATCTTAGACATCTAGAAATCACCAAGGTGGTTTGGCATGTAAGAAAACACATTAAAAATTACATTTTTCTAAATTCTGGAACTGATCCTGGTAAGGTAACATTAAAAATAATTTTCAGGAAAGAATCATCACCAGCACAAGACAGATGCCTGGGAATAATGAATGGTTGTAGTCTGGTTAGTTATTAAACTGTAGTGATGACATGCTATTACTAGGTAAGCATAACTGAAGGTATAATTAGAAGGAACTTCAGGTATTATGAAATGAAGTATTTTGTCTGTTGTTTTGTTTTTAAGTAATCAAGGACATGACAAAGTCAATACCAAGCACAAAAATTATTCTGGTTAGATATTTAGTATCTTCTATTTGGACAGATGACACAGAAGTTGAAAATAACTATTTCTTGTCAAAAGCAAAGTGAAATATTCTGCAACCAGTTTGTCATTTTAGAGAAAAAGAAAACTAAACTCTACTCTTACATTAATGTAACAGTTGAGAGTAAAGGATTCCCAATCCTTTAAAAAAATATCATGAGTAAGCCCATTAAAACAAAGTCAAGTTAATAAAATTTTTAACTCATTTCATTTTTTCCCCAGACTTTTTATTGGCAGGTATGATAAAGCAAAGAACAAAAAGTTTTCCTTTCCTTAAGCTTCTACAGCTTGATTATTAAAAATTTGTTTTTTACTAATCTTTCAAATTCTGGCACGTTTATTTCCAGACAAACTTATTTTTTCTTTGATATATCAAGCCATACCTGCAATCATACATACACATTTGTGTTGCTTTGCTATTTCAATTCTTAGTATAGTCTCAAAGATCCATATAAATTTCAATTTGTATTATTATTATTATTTAATATTTTTGTTTGGTACTGGGGATTGAACTTGGGTCCTTGAGCTTGCGAGGCAGGCAGTGGAACTACTGAGCTAAATCCCCAGCCCCATGTAAATTAAAATTTGTAACCAATGTACTTACCTCCTGTTTCCTCATAGAGATAATTCTAGGCAAGTAGCTGGTGGTTTGAATAAGAAAACATTTAGTTGATCAGAAAATGTCAAAAGCAATCACTATGAAAATTTCTATGGCCACACATCTCTGTGACGTTTCTTAGGGTGGCAAAGTAGAGAGCACACATGAATATAACCCAAAGGTTTGTCCACTCTAAAAGTATGTGTGTGTTATGCATACTATACTTGGTGAACAATGTTTTTGTATTCTAGCTTCCTTAAAAAAAAACAGATGGCATCAACGTGCTAAACCATGAAAAACGTAAAACAAGATAACATGATAGTGATGGAAAGTGTTTTGTCACGGAGAGTGTAATCTGAACTCCATAGATGTAAGTACAATAAATAAAGATATTTATCTCTTTGTGCCTAGAATGTGTAGGAGATACTCAGTGGATAAATTTGAATAAAGAATATACATGAATAAAATCTTTACTCATAACTGTATTAGTCAGGAGGGCTAATTCTCACATTACTATTCTACAAGTGAGGAAACTGATTTTTTTTTTTTTGGTTTGTTTATTTTTTGGTACTGGGGATTGAACTCGGGACCTTCTGTTTGTGAGGCAGGCGACAGAACCACTGAGCCAAATCCCCAGAAACTGTGATATTAATGTCACATTATTCCCTTCAACTTAATAAATATACTTGCATAAGTGAAAACTGAGAAAAGCATTGTGTAGATATGATTCAAAATCAGTCTAGCTGAGGCAGGAGACAATGCTCTATACTTCCCTTTAGGGCATTCAAACTTTCTTTTTGGCTGGCTTTTGGGGTCTCAGGGCAAAATTAGCTTTAAGGAGGTACTGACACTTTGCCAAATGGGAAAGGTAGACCAAGCATCACGGATTCAGGCTCAGTCCTGTCAAACATCCTCTCAGAGGGAAGCCAACATGAATCCAGGGCACATTGTGTTACCAGCGTCCAGCCAAGGGACCCCCGGATTCCCTTCCCCTAACCGGGGAGCTATTTGCATTACACGCAGATTGTCCTCCTTTAACTTGCTCTTTCTGTTAAATGAAAGCTTTATACTAAAGTAGTCAGAATCGAGTCGTATTTAGTTTTTAGGACTCTTTGGAGAGAAAACATGCTGTTGAGTGATAACCCCTAGAATTTTTGTCAGATCTCTTCTCATGTTAATTCCCTTCATCCCACTGCCTTCTCTGAACATAACTGGTATCTGGTGATGATGATTTGGTGTCATTTCTGCTGACCTCATCCATGAGCCAGAGGAAACCGTGGAGATCAGTTTAGGGCTTACTATATCCAGTGGATGAAGGAAGAAATTGAAACACAACGGGGCTTCAGGACTTTTCAAGGTCCTGCTGGTAGTTAAGGCCCGTGCTCAGTTTCAGAAGAAGCCTGGAAAAAACCAATCGCTGAGTTAAAAAGAGTCGGTGCCAAAACGAGATGGGAAGGCTTCCTCCCGCGGATCACAGTTAGGAAAAAGAGTGGGCGCTGTCTGCGCGGAACCTGGGCCACGAACAAAGAGGGTTTGGGAAGCCTCTCAGATACTGAATCCTAACAGGCTTTTGATCACAGTTACGGCAAAACCAAACACGCTTACAGGCGGGCAGCGAGCAGTTCCACACTGGTCCTCTGAGTCCGTCCTCCAGCAGGGCTGGGAGAGGGCGTTGTTACCCTCGCTTTGTGGAGGGAATGAACAGAGGCCGCGCGTCTTAAGGATCCTACACTGGCACCACTGCACAGCAGCTCTGAGTCTTCCACCGAGCTCACTCGTTAACATTCTCTCTTCCAGGATAAACTGGAAAGGATCCTGGTTGGCCAAAGAGCGGGGACCCCTGAGGCACGAAGTTATTTCTTTAAGGCCACAGGGGGGAGCACGCGCCGGTGTGGAAGGGAACCCGAGACTCCCGGTCAGTTTCTCCTGAAAGTTCGGCGAGGGAGGCCAGGGAGCGGGTCCGCGCGGCGGCC